GGGAGAGTTGTGAGGTTCGAACTCCAGCAACCTGAGGCTGAGAGCTTTGTGGAAGCAGCCACTTAAAGGCCTGAGCTAGGGCCATGCCCCCTCTCTTTCTCTCTTACGTTTCCTCTTCTAGATATTATGCCATTGTTTTTCATTATTATTATTAAGAATTAAGCAGTTTTATGTCTTTGGTGCTAGTTGGTATTTTCCTTCCTAATAGTAGGTAGTGTAAAACAGTGGAATTTTTTCTTTACATAAAATAAAACACATGCAGTGTCAACACGTAGGCACAACAAATTGTAGAGTCATGACGACCACCCCGTTTAAGAAGCTGAACTGGCGGGGGTCCAGTTGCACGCTTTCCTCGCCCACCACACCCCTGATCTGTAGTCCCTACCTCTTAAGCTTTTCTTTCCCCTTCCACGGTGTATGGCCTGCTCCTCCTGGTGTCACCTGCCGAGCATCCTCTCCACAGCATGGCCACCCCACACAGCATGAGCTCTCGTACCATGTGTGGAGAGTTTCACACTCAGAAGTGGGTGTATCAGGCCTACTAGTGATGAGTGCTTGGGTTATTTACAGTTTGGGCCCGCTATGAATAGTTTTGCTAAATACATTCTTGTACATGTATTCTAGAAAAATATATTGATAGATTTTTAAAGGTATATGCTTAGGAATAGAATTTCTGGGTTATAAATGGCTCAGTGTTTATTTTTGTAGTACTGGGGATCAAACTTAGGACTCTGCTTGCCAGACAGGCGCTTATGCCGCTGAGTTATCTCCAGGCCCATGACTCGGCTTTTGTTAGTCTCACAGGAAAGATCAAGGTCCAGTGGTAACAAATGATGTAAGTTGTAGTAAGTATTAATTTTTACTGGAGTCCCACGTCTTTATGGATGATTGACAGAAAAGGCGGCCTGAGTTGGTGGGGGCAGGAGCTGGATGTGATTTGAACTGCGTAGGATGGAAAGGGCCAAGCCTTAGGGGAGGGCTAGAATGCCTCCAGAAGGAGGTCCTGGAGGAGGTTTGGAGACCTTGTGCTCACAGTCCCAGGTTTTCAGAAGTGTATGGCATTTTAACATTATTGTCCCCATATTAACCTGCAACATTGGTTTATAATTTTTATGTACATTATGAAGAAAGATAGGGCAACTTGGGGACAATTCACTGGTCTTGGCCATAAAAAAGGGAGACAGCTCTTTTAGGAGTAAGATTCCCTTTGGCTGTCTCCCCAAAGCAAAAGGGTAGGTACTAATGCCACCAAAAGAGAAGGGAAAAAATATTGTTAGAAATGGAGAATGAAAAAAAGAAACATTTTATTCAGCCAAATGAAAGACGCTGTATCTGTTGCAGACAGTGAGCCACGACAAGGCTGGTGCAGCGGACAGCCTCGGCAGCCTGGGTCTCTGTGGGCAGTTGCACGGGTCGTGCTGCTGTAAGTGGATTGCCGAGCTGTAATCACACCTGGTGGCGCAGCAGGGCAGGGCCTGTGTGCTCCTCCACGCGGTTGTGCTGCAGGAGGCGCCCTGCAGGCCAGCTTTGCGTGCTGTTCTTCCTGGGCCCTGGCTGGCCGCGGGAGGGAGGCAGGAGGGCTCATGGCTGTCTGAGTTCTTTTTCCCGACAACCTGAAGACCTTGCAAAGTTGAGGATTTAATTCAGGTTCAGTAGTATTGTGTTGATCTTGTGTAAGAAAGTGGGCGATTTAAAGAATTGGGACGTCATATTAAGATTACATCGGGTGGTTGGGAAGGACTGAGGGATTGTTGGCTTCATTTGGGCTCTTTTTTAAAAAAATGTATTTGGTTGTTACAGGGTGCAGCTCGGGCTCATAGTGATCTTCCTGGGGCGGGGCTGGAGTGGCGCGTGCTGCAGGGGATCAAGCCGCAGCCCTACGCCTGCCTGAGCAGGTGCGTTAGTGCGCTGAGCTATCTTGCCAGCTCTTGGTCATGTTAGGCAAGGCTGCTTTTACATCTGACACGTGCTTTCCCATGTTGATGCTGAAGTATTTGTGGCAGGCTCCAGCTGAGGATGTTTTTAACATGCAGAGCAAAACCTTCCATTTGCTTGCTGCTGTGAGTTCTATTGATATGGGGATTCATAGGTTTTTTTCCATAGGCATAGAGCTTACATCATCACTGCAGATCTAAGTACATTATTGATTTGATTTCTTGTATAATTTCCGGATAGTCCCTCGATGTATGGAATTGGTGGTTTTGTACTTTCGGTATTACGCTTTTTCTGGATAACAGTGAGATTTTCATGCTTGAGTAAAACGTTGACATATTGTGAAGTTGTCTGACTCTGAACAATGGGAGTAAGTTCAATTATTCATATATATGTGGTTCTTTTCAATACCTTCTGTGTTAGCTAATGCTTTAGTACAACTAGCATAAAGATACTCAATACTTCCTTAAAAAAATTGAATCTCCAGTGTGTGAATAAACAAATTCAAAGAATTTGTCCTTTTGTTGAGTATTTTCTTCATTGTCATTTATAGCTAATTGCAGCAATCGTTTGATTGGATTCATAGGTTTTGCTTTGTTTGAGACAGGTCTCACCGTGTAGCGCAGGCTGGCTTTGAACTTTCTGTGTAGCCCACACTGGCCTCAAGCTTGAAGTGAGCCTCCAGCCTTATCTGCCCTCACGCTGGGATTGCGGTGCTCAGCTCCATTTGTTTTTACTTTAAAACATATCTTTAAAAAATGAAACGGCCCATCTGATGTCTTTGTCACCTGACATGTTTCCCCACGTCCCCTCCTCTCAGTGCACCGTGTACGTGGCCTTTTTACACAGTGCCCCAGAAGCTTGTTTTCTTTTTCTGTTGTGCTTGAATGGAAAGACTACTACTTCTGTTGGTAGTCTTTTTCAAGTAGTAAGGGCTTCTGATAGTCACTTTTGTGATTTGCGAAGTACTGAATTATTTAACAATGGGCTAATCATTTCCTCATTTGATATGTTTTCTAGTTGCTCATTTTTTATAGATAATGCAGATATGTATTTGTGCATCGTAGCTTTTCTTATTTGTAGTCATATTGCGAGGACAGGAGCCCCAGAAGTAAGCCAGTGGGGTGTAAATGTCCGATCTGTCATATATTGCCTTATTCCACAAGGCAGTGTGTGCTCAAGTGTGGGTTCCTTTACCAGTACAAGAGAGAAGCCTGTTACGTGTTAGCATCTCACAACATCAGCGTTTCTGTCATCCTGACATCTTAGAGGAGACTTTGGCCTTTGCACATTCAGTTTCCATTTTTAGCAAATCGTGTGTGCAAACAATTTGTAAATTGCAGTAACACGTGCGGGGTGACCCTGAGGTTGGGTGCCTCCTGTCTTGTCGCTCCCAGCTCCTGGCTCCCTGCTCCTGCTGTCTCTGGGAATCCCTGGCTCTTAGCTTTTGTATGCACGCATTGCTATGACTTAATCAAATCACATTTGTTTTTTAAGCATACTTTCTTACACTTTTTGTATTATTCTGGAGTTCATAGTTGTCCCTTTTTGCTTGCTTTGCGTTCTATCTTCCTGTTTTTCATTTATCACTCAGCATTCCGACAGAGTGTAAATCTCCTCTTGATTGTGCCAAACACATGGGCTAATCCTTAGATGTGTCGTGCTTCCTTTTTCAAAGACCCCTCTGGGAGCCTGTGCATCTGGCTCGGTGTAGACAGGTGGAGCTCGGGGCCTGTCATTCGGGTGACATCTGGGGATTCCCTTTATGGTTTTGCCCTGTGAGCTTCTTTTTGTCTGTCTTGTTAATTCTGTGTTTTGGAGCTAACATTTTTCTTTTGAAATTTATTTAATGTATTCCTGAGAAAGATGTGTGGAAGGTAATTTTTTGTTTTTTCTTGGAAATGTCTTGCTGCCACTGTCCCTACTGCCTGCGTGGCTGAGGGTGTTTTAGGCTGGACGTTCTGAAGGGCGCTTCATTCTCTTTGCAGCACTGCGGTTGAGTCTGGTCTCATCTAACTCCCAGTGCTCTGTTAGGACTTTTTACTTTTTCATCATGTTTGGGGGCTTTCCGAACCTTATTTGGGGTTCTTACTTTACACTGTCATTGGTTGTGTCCTTTCTCGCACACACGTTACTGTCCCGGTGCTGTGCCCTTGGAGCCGGAGAGCCACGTTCTGCAGTCCTTCGTGTTCTCTCCCCTGAGCCAGGTTTACGCGGATGCGGTACCACATGCGCTGGCTTTTTTTTTTTTTTTTTCAGTTTTTCCATTTCTATATCTCATTGCTCTATGGAAAAATGTTAACTTTATTATTTTTAACCTATTAGATTGTTTTGTTGATACTACAGTATTTTACAATTTCTGAGAGCTTCTTTTCAGTTCTTCAAATCTTGTTCTTTATGGCATCATGCTGTTTTACCTCTTTTTCTGAGGTCATTGGTTATATATATTATGTTTTCTTCTGTCCAGTAATTTCTTTCTCATGTGCGTAGGTATTCTGTATATTTACCCAACATTGAAGAGTTAGCATGATTTTCCCTACTTCGGAGATGTGTCCATCTACTGGAGGGCTGTTGTCTTCATTAAGTTTCTTGCTAATATTGAAAATTTTATTTTTAAATGTAGATTGTCAGTAAGTTGTAAAACTAGAACTGAAGGCTTCTTTGTACGCAGACGGTGCCAGTCGTGACATGCTAACACGATGGCAGCACACACGCAGAACCAGCAGATGCAGTCTTTGAGAAGGCATGCACCGAAAGGCTCAGGCTGCACACGTAAGTGAGACCTTACGTGTATCCATCTGTTTTGATTTTCAGCAATTTTTCCAGCTGGTGAAATTACGCAAGCTTGGCTTGAGTGATAATGAGATCCAGCGGCTCCCCCCTGAAATCGCGAACTTCATGCAGCTGGTGGAACTGGACGTGTCTCGAAACGGTAAGAAGGTCCCATGAGGGCTGTGCGCGTGTCTCCTCTGATGCTGGGGACGTGTGTAATCAAATGAGCTCTATGAGCCTTACTCGAGATGCTGTTCCTTATAATTATGGGGAAGCTGTGTGTGCATTTTTTGTATGGAAATTAATGCCCCTTTTAATAGCTCAGCCAACTTATCAAAAACGTTTTTGTAACAGAACTATTAGAACACAATTAATAGATTTCCAAGTAGATTGGAAATAGTTCTGTTATACTAGCAGGCTAACTGCTAGTGTGGTGACTTGGTTGGGGCATTTAACCCACTGGCTCTTGGTGGTACTCTGGTGGTGAGTATAGGGAGGTGCAGAGGTCTCCAGGAGGGTACAGGGGCCTCTGATCTGTCCAGGGAGGAATGGGGGGGGGGGTTCTGATCTGCCCAGGAGGTGCAGGGTTCTCTGATTTGCCTGGGAGGTACAGGGGTCTCCGATCTGCCCCCGGAGGTGCAGGGATCTCTGATCTGCCCAGAAGGTGCAAAGCTGTCTGATCTGCCCAAAAGGTGCAGGGCTCTCCGATCTGCCAGGGAGGTGCAGGGGTCTCCGATCTCCCTGGGAGGTGCAGGGGTCTCCGATCTGCCAGGGAGGTGCAGGGGTCTCCGATCTGCC